GAGGAAGTTGTTTATTTAAGTGTACAAATTCAACTCATACAAGTCTCGCTCTCTCTTTTTTTTTTTATACCAGCAAACAAAAACAACCTTTATAAATAATTATAAAACTTATATTCAGGGAAATAGATCAGCATTTTGCAATGGTTAGAAGCTTAGCAGGCTGCCAAGATAACAGTAGAGTTATTGTATTATAAGAAATTTTAAACTATAAAATACTTTTGAACAGAGATCTTTAAAAAGTTGTATGGAGATTTTTTTGTAATGAAAATCCTACCCAAATCGTCTTACATATATATAATCTTCTGACGACTTGACCCACTCCGTTTCTCCTCGCCTCCAAATCTCAGAATGACTCTTCCAGGGTCTGGAAAGCCAGCACGAAGTCATGGGTCTGTCCTTCACCAGCTGGATCACCATGAGCAACCTGACCTCTCTAAGCCTGGGCTTCTTTATATATAGAACCGAAATGCCAATAGCTAACATATTTTAGACAAATGAGATGAGTAATTTCACAGAGCTGGCATGATGCCTGACTCACAGTAATTGTTGTGCATACACGTAATTGTTGTGCACATCAGAGACAGAGAAAGCCTGGACGGGGCGTTACAGTTAGAGGGGATCTGGTCAAAGATTTGAGCTCAGGATATACACATACATATTCTTCCAATTGCCCTGAGCCTGCCGGCTTGGAAAACAACTCAAAACGTCATCAGCTCCCTGCTCCCTACATTACCATTCCCAAACTGCGAGGCCAGATGGAAATGGGGTTACAGTTTGAAGCTGTGGGTTCATCAGCCTTGCCCAGAGCTGTGCTCCCCTCCTGGAGCCATCCATCTAGAAGGAAGGTTCCACCTGCCGGCGGGCGTGAGGGAGGGAGCATTTGCTAAAGTAGCAGGCGCATCCTGGGTTCAGTTCAACGCCTCATGGCCTACTTTCGTCACATCCTTGTACTGCCTCTCTCATAACAGTCGTGACACTCAGCAGTATCCTTTCATCTTTGCTGTCTGCTCCTACCCGGCAGCTCAGTGCCAGCAGGTCCTGCTCCTGTCTTGGTGGCAGTATCGTCCCCAACAACGAAAGTAATGCCTAACACCCAGGGGGGCTCCATCAGTATTTGTGACACTGAGCACCACTGCATCTGCATCAGGGTATGCAGCCCCCCAAGAATCCCGAATAGCCACATACTCAGAAATAAAACCAGAACGAAAACCAACTTAGGCCTCTAGGACAGAAACTGCCAGGACAAGTTTTGACCCAAAAATAGAGGAAAAAATGATGTATATTTACGATTTGTGTTTAGGAGAAGCCCCTGCAAAACAGGACAGAACAACACAAGATGGTTTGGCTGGAAATGGGTTCTCTGCGCAGAACCACAAGAGAAGGGAGGGAAGTCACGGAAGGCAGCTAAGCCCAGAAACAGCAAACGCAAGGTGTCCGGCCGTGGACAACAGACCCGGAAGGGGCAGAGGACAAGTTAACCGTGCCTTGTGCCAAGAAAGACAGGCGTCAGCTTCCTGAGCTCCACAGCTTTTAGGAGGGGCAGGCAGCAAACGGTTGTAGGTGCACAGTGCTGAGCCAGGCAGGGCTACGGCAGCGGGGAGGGGAGCCCTTCCAGTGGCTGGCCTGGCCCGTCCCTGTCCCTTGTGGGGCATGCGGGGGGAGCTGAGGCTGACGTCTGGCATCTGCTATCTTTTCATCCTTTTCAAAAAGATGGTCAAGGGCACCTGGGTGGCTCAATCCATTGAGCATCCAACTTTAGCTCAGGTCATGATCTCACGGTTCATGAGTTCAAGCCCACCTCGGACTCTGTGCTGACAGTGCAGAGCCTGCTTGGGATTCTCTCTCTCTCTCTCTCTCTCTCTCTCTCTGCCCCTCCCCTGCTCATGTTCTCTCTCTTTATCAAAAAAACAAAAACAAAGAAACAAATAACTTTGAGAAAAATAAAGTTAAAAAAAATAAAAAGATGATTGGAATATATACATTCAGTACTCTTCTATCTGGAAAAATCTCTTACGGAGAACAGTTCTTACCCATGATTCCAGAAAATCAAGACTTTTTTTGTCATCTCTTTCTTTACTTTTTCGTAGCAAACCCGTCATTAATTTGCACTCTCCCAACAAGTTCCTGTTTTCCTGGGATGCTCATTTAAAAAGATTCCTTAATCTATGCTGTGGTCCGCCAAAGTGTAAAGGGTTTCTGTGATTATTTTAGGCTTTCATTTAGAAAATAAATAAATGGAACTCATATTTTCTTCTTTCTAGCTTGCTTCAGGTGCAGTTTTATTTGTTCGATATATATGGAAACAAATTATAAAGTGACTAGTGCATTTTTTTTTCCTAAGAAGGTCATAGAGTTGTTCTCGATGAAAACTGTGTCAACATTCAGAATACTCTTTAGAAACATGAGCAGTAATTTCGTCCAGACCCACAAGAACTGTAACCCCAGAGCGCACACTATTCCGGGTCTTAAAACTGTTAACAAGAAGACAGAAGGAAGGTCTGCTTCTTTTTTGCCAATACTACCCTCTAGTGGAAAATGGGCAAGAGAAAAGAGGTTGTCTTTGAAGAGTGGAACTTGTCCTTAATTTGCTGCATAACAGAGTATTTGCACAGAAGCAGATTTATGTACATTCTGCGTCAGACATCCCTGGAGCATAAATATAATGAACTATTGATTAGGCTTGTTGGCATTGCATTTCAATACATTTTCTCATCTGAAATCATGCATTGTGCAAGAACGTCTTAGCTACAATAGAAGATTGTAACCCCAAAATGTGTACAGTGTGCTATAAAAAGAAATGCTGCTATAGTAGCCGTATTGATTTCTTGCTCACCCTGTCAAAGGCCAGCAAACTGAAGTAGGAGAGGAGCCCGTCTTTTAAAGGCCTTCAGTTTATTTACCGCCTTAGGTTTCTGCCTAAGCAGTTTGAGGCCAGATTATAAAAAAATATCCACTCCGCCTTCAGAGGTGAATCTAGTGAATACTTTTCCAGAAAAAAAGGAAGGGGGGGGGGGGGTCACCGTACTCAGTGCTGTTAGCAGCTATATGACATAACTGGAAAACCATATCCCTCTTTTTTCCCCCCGAAGAATCAAATTATCCAAAAGCATCTTGTACCATTAAGGTTTGAAGTGTCCTTTGAGATGAAAAAAAAAAGAAGACAATTTATAGGAACATATTGAATTCATGTCACTCAGTAAATGTGACTCCCAGTGGGTTTGGGAACTCATGGAAAAAAATATTGGTGTTGGGCTCCTTCTGACCTCCAGGAGTTACAACTAAGGGTTGCAGAAGGATTCATTTCCACCCCGTTAGTTCAAGATGCACTCGTTAAATTAATTGGAACTCTTGAAGAGAGAAGGGGAAAGTGTTCATGCAAATGTTTTACATATTTACCCCCCCCCCCGGCCTAGAAACTCAAGATCAATACCCACACCACCCTCATTACCAAGACTGAGTGCTCTCAGACTCATGTTCTTGTTCAGATTCTAAAGGTCATAATTTATAAAGGAAGCCTTTTGTTGTTGTCCGTGGACAGTTATGGATACTATCTGTGAAGCAGAGGAAATGATACTTTTACTTTTGCTTACTGTTGAAAATCTCTTATCCCTTATTAAAGTCTGCATGTTTTTCTTATTTACAACTCAGAAGTCAACTCTCCTGTGAACAGAAAAACAAGGCTCCATTTGATTTTAAAAGATAATTATCCCGACCTCTTTGCAAAGAGAGGTGTTTATAATCAGTTAATTAGTGAGTTTCCAATTTACATTGTGCAGGGAAATTGTTGTATCACAGCAGATACGAAAGACTATGTATCACAGTTTTCTTCCTTCGTTTTTAACAGCAAGTGAGAAGAAGATGACTTGGGGAGTAAGATAATTAACACATTGAGCTTTAGGTTCAACTGTGTCTCACCCAAAGTACCCAGAACAACGCAGGGTGTAATTATTCTAAATAAGTAAATTTAAGAAATACAAATCATCCATCTTAATAAGCATTATTTTTGAAGAAAAAATGATATGCAGTCCTCCATAAAAGATAACATGGTGAGGAAACAAAAGGGTCAGCTCTCAAGGGACCACACTTAGTAATCTGGCTGTGCGAAATAAGTAGATTAATTTAGGCAAAGTCACTACCTAGCCACAGAATCAGTCTTTACCTGTCCAATGGCAGTTTGGTAACGTGAAGTCAGGGCCATTAGTTCTGTGCATCACCACAGTATCCCCAGTGCCTAGCCTTGAGTCGTAAAAGTGGAGGAACTTGATAAATTTTGATTAATGAGTGACCCTGCATGAATAAGAATGTACTCATATCACCGAATTGTAGACAGAAAAAGGCCAGCTAGAAATTAGTTTGAAAAAACCTTCAGGAAATTACCATTGCTTTCAGTCTGTAGGAACATCTAATTCTATGTGCTGTTCTTATAGGGTACTACAGGGAAAACATTCCTTAATCCTCTTACTTCAGTAAAAATGGAAGACCACATCCAAGGCAGTCTCACAGTTTGTATTTCAGAGACGTGCTCATCATATCATTTTGCTAAGTATATAAGGAATTTTCAGTTGCAATAGACACATTAAAGACTTGTGTTTTTTTAAAGGAGCAACCACAAAACCAACAAAAATGTCACCTGTTCCAGAGAATGGCACTTTGTATCAAATTTGCCTGTCCTTGTTTTCAAAGTTCAAAATCACCTCATACCACTGGAAGTATCTTTGGCTAACATTTCGAGCATTACCCCCGTCTCCAGAAGGCAGAATTTCAGACTGCTTGCCCGAGTCGAATGGCCTTCAGCTGATACCCCCGCCCATTAATATTGTACAGGAGCTCTGCCAGGTTCCTTTGGGGCACCGTTGTGCGGGAACAGTAATGGAATTGAGGAGGTGGAAGGTTGACAGTGGCTAATGGATTGCGTGATAGGAAGAGACGGGGCCAGTCTAGTAACTGTGTCCCTAACCTGGTTTCAGGGGAGGCTCTAAACCCTTCATTGTGTTTTACAGGATATGAATGATTATCCTCCAGTATTTAGTAAACGAATCTACAAAGGGATGGTGGCTCCGGATGCTGTCAAGGGCACACCTATCACCACGGTTTATGCTGAAGACGCAGACCCTCCTGTAAGTAGAAGACGTTAATTAATACTCTGAGCTGTAGTGAAGAAAACCTTGCACGCTCACAAATGACACAGGTTCTGGGACAGCATAAAAATTGAGCTCCACCCTGTTCTCAGGCATTTTGCGTGCTCTCGCCTGTTGCACCCACAGGTACACACCATATTGCAAATGATTATTGTGGATTATTGTGCTTTTTGTTTTTCTGGAGTTCAAAATTTATGATTCACCAGTTTAGCACTAGTAATAAATATATGTGGAAAGAATTCTCTGGGTTTGGAATCAGCATCATTAGGGTTCTGTATTTACAACAGTGGAAGCTAAGTTCAGTTGGGTTCGATCCCAATGTATTTCCCATGTTATTCATATATGACTGTGCTGGTAACAAACTCTAGATCAACAGGTGACACAATACTTATATTGAATGTGTTAATTTGAGTAAAATTGAAATATTAATATTTCTTTTAGAACATATCTAATACCTTCTTTTTTATCTAGAATTTTACCTCTTTTGAGATATCCCAAATTGCCTTCCGAAATAGAGGGTTTTCAATGAAAACCTTATTATAGCAGAAGTGAGGTACATGTTCCTTGATGTTATCATTTTACTGTCTTAAAAGTAGCATATAGAAATAATAGTACCTACATAAAAATGCTTTCTATAAATAGTTTGAGTGCTCTATAAAAATTAATTACTTATTCTCATAATAGCCAAATGATGAAGACTTTAAATCTTTTACTTCGAGTGAGCTACCACTATTAGTCAGTGGCTGATATATTCTAGAAAAATAATAGAAATATCTAATAAGCCATTATAGAAAAGTAAGAAAATAGAAGAAGACCGGAATTATATAAGTGATTTAGAAGTTCTGCTTTATATTGCTTATATAAATACTATTTGTATAATGGTATTTATTTAAGAAAAGGTGAATGGCAGTCATAACATTTTTCAGCTTCAACTGTGACAGGCCATATAAAGTCTTTTGTGACTATAAGGTCTTGAAAAATAATAATGTTAACATGAAAGCAATGACCTTTCACTCAGAAGCTCCTTTTCTTGAGTGTGTTAAAATGTCTTTGAAACTGATTTACTGCATTTTGGGAAATATGGTAGGCGAAATTTCCTAGATGTGAGCACACACAGTACAGATGCTGAATGTGACATCGGTTCTTTTTCTGCTTTTTACGTAAACTTTCAGAGGCAGAAAATACTTAGAAATTAGGAATACACGTTCAATTCTATTCAAGACTTGTGTTTAGAACATCAAGCCTAGACTGATTATTGTGCTAACCAGTTTTTGCTCTCCTGACCTGACAGTCGTACAGGAAGAACATAATTGCATATAGAAATTATAACATGCTGTACTAAATGAGTATAAAAAGCACAGCATCTTAAAATGCTCATATTTCTAAGAAATTCATATTAGCACAGAATTTAAGGCAGTGTTATGATTAATGGAATTAAGATGAAGACTAACGTAGCTGTACTCATCACCTCAGTGGGACAGACCTCACCATCTTAGCATGGTCGGCAAAATCCTCATTTCACCGTTGGGACCTGCCACTGTGGTCCCTGGTTTGACATTCAGGTCACCCCACTGATGTCACGGGAGTTGTCTTGGTCTGTTATCTGTTCTATAAATAAATGCCATCACTTATCTAAGCTATCCAGAGAGAAGACCCTGTTTTTTGCACCCGGAAGCTCTTTCATGGAAACACAGAAGGCTCAGGTTCCATACTTCTTCTAAGAAGGTCTTAGATTTGCATCCCCAGTAGTACCTCTTAACATTTTATACCTAACGCTGGCTTGTCAGTAGGTGAGAGGCAGATGCCAGTCATTCGGTTGAGATACTGAGCATATTACACTTGATCTTAGCCAAAAGGCCGAGAAGCGATTGAGATACTGAGCATATTTATTTCAGTTAGTGAATATGTATTTTATTAGACTCAGGCTTTTTTATTAAGGTCTTTATTTTAATTTCAGTATAGTTAACATCTGGAATTATGTTAGTTTCAGGTGTAAAATATAGTGATTCTACACTTCCATACATTATTCAGGGCTCATCACAACAAGTACCCTCCTTAACCCCCATCCCCTGTTACCCCCATCCCCCCAACGTCCTCTCTGGTGACCATCAGTGTGTTCTCTAGAGTTAAAATCTGTTTTGGGTTTCTCTCTCTCTTTCTCTCTCTCCTGTATTTTTCCTTTGTTCATTTGTTTTGTTTCTTAAGTTTCACATATGAGTAAAATCATATGGTACTTGTCTTTTTCTGACTTATTTTGCTTAGCTGAATACTCTCTAGTTCCAACCATGTCATGGCAAATGGCAAGATGTCATTCTTTTTTTTTAATTTTTTTTAATGTTTTTTTACTTTTGAGACAGAGAGGGACAGAGCATGAACGGGGGAGGGTCAGAGAGAGGGAGACACAGAATCTGAAACAGGCTCCAGGCTCTGAGCTGTCAGCACAGAGCCTGACACAGGGCTCGAACTCACGGACCGCGAGATCATGACCTGAGCCGAAGTCGGCCGCTTAACCGACTGAGCCACCCAGGTGCCCCAATGTCATTCTTTTTTATGGCTGAGTAATATTCCATTGTGTATACACACACACACACAGACACACACACACATACTACATATTCTTTACCCATTCATCTATTGATAGACACTTGTGATGTTCCCATAATTGGGCTATTATAAATAATGCTGCAATAAACATAGAGTTACATGTATCCCTTTGAATTAATGTTTTTGTATTTGGGGGGTAAATACCCAATAGTGTGATTACTGGATGATATGGTAGTTCTATTTTTAACCTTTTAGGAATCTCCATACTGTTTTCCTCAGTGGCTGCACCAGTTTGCAGTCCCAACAGTGCTCAACGGTTCCTTTTTCTCCACATCCTCATCAGCACCTGTTGTTTCTTGTGTTGTTGATTTTAGCCATTCTGACAGGTTATCAGACTCTGTGCTGATTCTTGACCCACCAACCATCTTTGGCCTACCCAGCATTCATCACTGAGTTTCCCCATCATTGCTGCAAGGCAGATCCCTTAAACTAGCATGGTCACCCTTGGGCTGCACCAGCACCAACCAGAAATAAAGGCTCAATTCCGTGAAAAATCTCAGAAGATAAATATTATATTGCGCAATTTTCAAAAATAGTATCATTGATTTTTCTTTTTATTATTTTACGTTGGTGCCATAAGTACAGAATAAATATTTTTTGGATGAGCTTGTTAACCAATTTCCACTTGGTTGCTATCATAAACATTTACTGATTAGAAGATACCATTCAGGGCTCCATGTATAAGTATCTATGGAGACACGTGTGGATATATAATGGTCTCCTTTCCAAACTAGGAGCTGAAGTCTTTGAGGACGGGAATCAAACCTTAATTCCAGTTTGCATTCCTGTGTCCAACTCAATGCTTGAAACTTAGTGGTCTGTTAGGAAACGTTTGTTAAATAATTGAATAAATGAAAAAATTCACAGTTATTTCTGTGTTCTTCAGAACTGACAATGTGTGACGGGTATTCGGGAAATGAGTTATTTGTGATCTTGGGGACCCGTGTGCATATCCACCAGCCCAGTCTGGCCGTCTGAGGGCTGTGAGGTTAAGGCGGGTACCGTGTGCAATGCCAGGCACCACTTCTCTACTGGGCATTGCTACAACTCAGAGGTAATCATCTTCACCTCGAGAGGCTGGCCACCTCTTCTTCAAGCCACCCTATGTCTTCTGAATGAAGTGAGAACCACCCGTTTTCACCTAGAAAATAGCAACAACAAAATCCTTTGAGGTATCAGATGGAGAAACTGGGTAAGGTCTTAGAGCCAGAGAGAGCATTGCTGCTGAATATCATTTAAGAATTATAAAATGCATATTGTGCAGAACTAGAGTGCTCTAGAGGGAAGGTTGCTTTTTGTTTTTTGTTTTTTCCCACTGAATTAAAGCTGTTAGGGCTTTATTTTCTGCCTGGTTTTTGTGACAGCTTTGGCATTATGTAGTTCACCAGAGAGATGAGTAGGGAATGACTGATCATTTTGGATATTAAAAATTGCTAACCTTTTCTTTGTGCTCACCAGAGACTTCTCACTCCAGACTTTGACAAAACAAAACTGCAAGTGTAATTTCCATTTGCATATTTTATTCTTTCCGAAGCTGCAAGCCAGACCCTGGAACACAGGGGTTCTCTTTGCAGGCAGGGCGAGTGCCTGACGGAGTAATGTCCCTTGCGAGCATGTGGACGCAGAAAAGTTGGCATAAATAAATGAAGTTTACATTATTACTATTTCCAAGAAAGCGTGAGGAGCCCACAGAGGATTTTTTTTCCCTCATTGTGATAGTACTCTTTCCACTTCATGCATTTCAGGAATTTATTAGATTCCTTTTTAAAGTAAAGTAGTGATTGGGAACGTGTTCAATATTAGCAACTGTGACCAACTTTCTTGTTTGCTTATACTGGTGTGAGAATTACTGAGATGTCGAAGACTTCTTTTTCCGAATTTGGATATTCACTTGGGAAATAAATATGCTCCATAAGAGAAATCTTGAAAGTTCTCAACAGTAATTGGCTTTAAAAATCAGTTGAGTGTTCTCACTATGTTTTTTTGGTCAGAAATAATTTTGGTGCGCCTGGGTGGCTCAGTCAGTTAAGCATCCGACTTCAGCTCAGGTCATGAACTTATGGTTTGTGAGTTCGAGCCTCATGTCGACCTCTGTGCTGACATTGCAGAGCCTGCTTGGGAGTCTCTCTCTCCCTCTCTCTCACTGCCCCCATTCCCGGTGCTCGTTTGCTCTCCCTCTCTCTCAAAATACATAAATAAGCTTAAAAAAAAGAAAAAATTTTTTTTAATTTTTTTTTCAACGTTTATTTATTTTTGGGACAGAGAGAGACAGAGCATGAACGGGCGAGGGGCAGAGAGAGAGGGAGACACAGAATCGGAAACAGGCTCCAGGCTCCGAGCCATCAGCCCAGAGCCCGACGCGGGGCTCGAACTCA